ACTCGACGTAGCAGCCATCCTTGCCAGCTGAAACGACGGTGGCCGTCGCCCACGCGTCGGAGAAGCCCTGCGGGGGCGCGGCGGCCGACCGAGTCGGCGGGCGTCACCGCGCTGCCCGCCAAATGCACCCCCGGCCACTTCCGAGAGCGAGCCGGCGCCGGTGGGATGCCAGCACCGCCCGGACGCAGGGGCAAGGGTGCGCTGGCACGGGCGCGGCGCCGCGAACGTGGGCGCGGGGGTGGGGCACGGCGTCAACCGCGCCGGCTCGTTGGATATAATCTCCACCTTGTCGTTCTCACTGAATCGGCCTTGCGTCACCCGGCCGAGGACGCTCTCGCCACCACTGCTGCTCCGCATGCGCTTGCAACCGCGGCAGGGCGCGCCCGTCCGGATCAGCGCCGGAAAGAAGCAGCGATTGTGGCGAGCGTTTGCGGTGCCAGTCTGCGGCGCCAGTCAGCTTGCGTTTCTTTTCTTGTAGGCTCGGGCAGCCTGATCTCGACTCTTGGTCCGAGTACGAGACAGCCGCGTACTCGGCCTGCGTGATGCCGCCGTATGCGCTCTCGTTCCAAGCGAACCTCGTGTCCTGCCACAGCCCAGACCTCGGTGGGAGCATCCGTCATCATTCACGTTCACACGACTCTTCACACTCGCTCGAAAAGGTGAAATCTCGTTCACATGAAATGTGAAGTGAAAGTGAAAGTGAAACCGATTCGCTGTTTCCATGTGAAATCACGAACCCTGGCCCCCACCGTGTCTAGCACCGTGTAAACGGGCAACCCCTGGGAGCCACATCAAGTTAAACATACCATGTAAAAGCTTTCCGCGAGCTCTCTCCACTCTCGAAGTACCAGCTTACTTTTCGACGCTCACAGAAGGTCACTCCAGTCTATCTCCACTGCTGCACTCCACAGATAAAGAAAAGCACGAGCTGGCTGGCGTGATTTTTTCCGACGCTGGAATTCTTTTTATTCTCTCTGCCACATCAGTCCAGTCCCAGCTCCACTAGTTTGGCTTGATTTGCCTTGATACTCTTGGCACGCTCAAGCTCATACTCAGAGAGAGGCTGTGTTGAGGACCCAGGTTGCCCTACCCTCTGCCTTTTTCTGGCTGCTGAGCAGGCAGAGCATCTCCAGCCAGCCACTGGAGGCTGCATCAGGGGAGGGGCTAAGCACTGCATGTGCATGGTGGTGTGGCAGTCTTTGCAGCACAAGAGCTCATTCAGCCCTGCCACCTGCTCTCCCTGGGAGCAGGCACAGCAAGTCAGCCCACCCTCTTGCGCAGGAATGGGCTGCCACTTCTGCCCAGCTGTCAGAGCTCTGGTGGCTGTATCCTCAAAGTGATCAGGGGGCAAGTAGGTGGGTTCACTGGCCCTCCTGGTCTGTCCAGTTGGAATGCTTCTGAGAGGGCAGGAGAAGGCATGAATCCGTCGGATAGCTGGGTTGCCTGAGTACCAGTGAATGTACCTCCAGCCAAAGAAGACATACCACTTCTTGGGCTCACACGTCACCTTCCTGATTGGGTTTGGTTG